ATTAGAACTTCCTGTAAGACAAGCGAATTCACTGAGCTCCTGAACTCTTTGTATTGGCCGCTGGAGATCTCTCTTTGTTTCTCAGTGGTATTTTTTACTTACTCCTGACTTCATATACTTGGAACCATGTATCCTTTTCACATTTACGTGAAGTGTTCGTTAGGGGCTTGTTAAGGCAAAAGCCTAGAAAGATACATGGGGCTTGTTAAGGCAAAAGCCTAGAAAGATACATGCTTGTCAGCCTGAGAAAGGTTTGAACTCCAACCCTTACTCTACAGTAAGCTCTGGTATTGTTTTAGTACATTATTATTATTATTATTGAGAGAGAGAGAGAGCACACATGCATGAATGGGAGGGGGATTGAGGAGTAGAGGGAGAGAGAGGATCCTAAGCAGGCTCCACGCCCAGCTCGGAGCCTGACGCGGGGCTTGATCTCATGACCTGAGCCCAAACAAAGAGTTGGATGCTTAACCGACTGAGGTACCCAATCGTCCTAGTTTTTTGATTCAGATTTGGTTTAACATTTTTTACTCTCAGTGGCCTTTAACCTTGGCCTAGTCGTTTGACCCCCCTCATCATTAAAATGGGGGATACCTACATATCAGGTTGTTGTAGAGATTCATTGAGGCTGGAAATATTTAGAGGCAATGAGAGGGGTAGAGTAGAGTCCTTAACTTTTCCTCTCACCCTCAAGTCCCCGCATTTCCTAGATTGAGGCTTTCCATCCCTGAGGTGCTGCCGTGGCTCTGGGTTTCCCAGGGCGAAAAGAGCCCTGCCTACTTGGTCACATTCTGCACCATCTTAAAATGTTCTCTGAGCATGGCGTCAGTTTTGTCAACGGTAAAAAAGGAACACAGCTGTTGGATGTGGGTGCCGGTGGTGCTGACTGCATAGGGTGGTTGGGGCTTCGTGGGATAGCCTGGGGCCCAGTGCCCAGTGCGTGGCGAGGACCCGTCAGCTCTGGGAAAGGAGGTGAAGTCACGGCCCTTCCTCCTGTCTTGCAGAAGCCCCGTCCTGCATGTCTCTCGGCAGCACGTCCCTGAGCGCCCCTTCCATCCACTGCCCCTCCGCTGCAGTCTGCATCGGCATCCTCCCGGGCTTGGGCGCCTACTCCGGGAGCAGCGACTCCGAGTCCAGCTCCGACAGCGAAGGCACGATCAACGCCACCGGCAAGATCGTCTCCTCCATCTTCCGAACCAACACCTTCCTTGAGGCTCCGTAGCTCCTGTGTCCCCCGCCCCTCTCCGCCCCGACCCCGCCAGAGCTCCTGCCCAAGAGTAGGCCGGACGGTTTGTTCCAACTCGGGGCACCACCTCCCCCAGAACTCCTTTGCCCGCTTCCTGTGCACACCGTGACATTCTTAACCTCATCTAAAAATGTGCCAGAATTCACTTGTGGCCCAACTTGTGTTTGGTTTCTCTTTCCACTCCAGTGCAGATGTCCAGCCCTGTCCTGCTGCCTCTTTCCTCGCTGCCGTGGTGGGGAGGGGGCTGCGGCTCCACGGCGATTCCCCTGAAAATGCCCTGGGAAGATAGGCACCCGCTGGGGTGCAGTGTTTGGATGCCGTTGCTTTCTTGTTTTCTTCTTTGTTTCCTTTCCTGACAGCACAGGAAGCAAGGGCAGTTATGGGACAGGTATCATTTAAACCTCTCTTCCAGCAGAACACACCATGTGGTTGTACTGCGTGGTGGCTCATGTTGGGGGGCTGGGGGGAGGAGGGCCCCAGGTGATGGACTGCTGCACTCCCTTGGAACTAACCGATTCTTGATGTTGTGTGACTAAGTAAAGATTATAAACTACATCTGCTGGGGGTGTCACTTAGCGCTCATCACTCATTGTGGAGTTTTTCCGTATTCCTCCTTCCTTCTTCTTCTCCCTCCGTCCAACGCCATTTAAGACCCTAAATCTTAGAGAAACGAACATGGGCCTTATTTCATCATGGCCAGGAAGCAGAAGTGCAGGTAGGTATGTAGACGAGATGACTTATTTCTAGCAGCTTCTGGAATTCTGAGTGCCAACCAGTGGGACACACCTGCATATTCTGGCTCGACTCTGTGCTCTGTTGAGGCCCCTCTCTGTTCGGTATGCTTATAGTTGAGGCTTCTAAATGTGGAAGCTCTTTCTGGCCTAAAGGTGCTGCCCTGTCCTTGCCTCCCCTCTGCTCCTCTCCCTTCCTGCACAGGGCAGCTTCAGAACTGTGAGCAGCCAAGACCTCTGTCTCCTAAAGGGAGGCTCTCCCTCTAGGACGGAGAGAGATGAGGTTAGAGGGAGGCATGGGCTTGAAAAACAAAAAAATCTGTAGGCTCCCCTGCTCCAGGAGAATGAGTCTGTACAGTTCTCTCTTCCCCTGGGTTCCTACGTCAATTGTTTCTACTTCTTTGGGTGTGAGACGTAGAGAGACACACACAGAACGTGTTGACACTGTGATGCTGGCAGGCAGAGCAGCTACTCATTTTTAATGTGGGCAGAGAGGCCCCTGGCTCTCCGCCAACCCACTGCTTTTCCCCTTCCAATACAGTGACACTCGTGCCTGTTAGCAGATGGTGACTTCCCTTCACCCATAAGTGATGCCTTGTGAATCCTTCCTCCTTTTCAGGACCGCTCCGTGCTAATTGTTCCTGACTGTCAGCACAGGCGCTCGGCTCCATCCTAACAGACAAGACATTTAGGTAAAACTGTGTAGGCACCTTCTGCTTCTCTGCTCCATTGTTCCTGCGATTGAGCTGTCGTCCTTGCAGCGCGCACACCGTTTCGGGAGGCAGACCAAGGATTCAGGGGCACCATCTCTTTGTGGTTTGACTTTTTTTTTTTTTTTTTTTTAAGATTTTACTTATTTGTGAAAGAGCGCACGAGCCGGGGGGAGGGGCAGAGGGAGAGGGAGAAGCAGGTTCCCCACTGAGCCAGGAGCCCAACAAGGGGCTCAATCCCAGGACTCTGGGATTATGACCTGAGCCGAAGGCAGACTGAGCCACCCAGGCGCCCCTGTGGTTTGACTTTTAAGAAGCCATTACTATACCTCATGGCCTCTGTTGTTGGGAGAAGGGGACAAAAGGTTGTAGGGATTAAAACTGTACATTAACTTGAAAGCTAATGCACCTGACCGAGAACAAGATCTTGCTTTTTCTGTACCGGATCTTGCACTCTCAACTCCCTCTCCATCTACTATAAGCTAGATGGCGTTGAGAAAGTTGAGGCTCCTCACATGGAGATTTCTGGTCTGTGGTATCACAGGGGAGGCTGCGAGTCAGTGGTGATCATCTCATCGTGTTCATTGTACCTGTTGGTGTAGAGTCCTGGAATGGAGACACATGTCCCGTAGAACCATGACTAGCAGAGCAGGACCTGGTCTCCCTGGTAGAGGAAGCAGGCTTGAAAAGCATCCAGTGTAGACAGTGTGGTTCCAACCCAAAGAAGGATAGAAAAAACAGGGACTGCTTTAATCCATAAAGTGCAGCCATCAGGCCTGAATAAATAATTGGGGCTTATAACTAGGTAATAAGGGCTAAAGACAAAGTGTGTGGTGGGGTTTCTTTAAACCTGCTTACATTGTCTTGAGTGGTAGTATTCTTACAACTCTTGAACCAGGCAAGGGAGAAAGCCTGTTTGCCAGTTCTCTCTGGATTATCTAGCCTGTGTCATACCACGCCCTCTCAACCACTTCTAACTTTGGACCCTGTTACCCGCTTGGGTGGGGAGAAAGTGTGAAATTCAAAGCATCCATTTTTCCATCTATAAAAAGCAGGGGAGCTGATGTGACTGGACCCAGAGACGATCTGGCGATCCTACATATGCCTTCCCTGGTCTCAGGACCCAGAAGGAGAGAAGAGCTGGCTTTAGGTGCATCTTAGACTAGAAGTTGGGCCCCTAACTAGGGGTGACCTGGGCCAGCTCTTTGCATCCTTGTTCCTTCCACTCTCCACCTGGAGTTCTTCCCTTCTGGCTACCTCCTTTCTACCCAGGACAAGCCGCTTTTGCCTCAGACTTCCGCCCATTGCTTCTGCTTCTCCCTGGGAACTAGTTCCCCCTCCCCTGGATATGCTGCAGTGGTTATGAGCTTAGAGCCAGACATTTACTAGCTGGGTCAGTGGGGCAAGGTCCTTAACCTCTCGGGGCTTCAGTTTCATCCTTGGTAAATAGAAATAATGATACCAACTTTCTAGTGAGGGTGAAAGCTAGTCTGGATTAGGTACTTGGTGTGGGATCTGGCACAGAGTGTTCAGTGAATGGTAGCCATCCTCAGTAGCCCTGATACTGCTGGCCTCCCCTGTTTCTGGGTAGGGTGTCCAGAGCTTCTGTTAGTGGTGATGTATGGCAGGTCTTCCCATCCTACTGGCATTCCTCAGTTGCAGCTAGAACATCAACACGATGAAGGGTCTGATCTGGTCGTCAGAGCTCCAACCACCAGCTTCTGCTGTATGCTTCCCTCTCAGCTAAATGTTAATTGCTTAGGCACACCCGGTTCCTTGGCACGGGTGTCCTACTCGTGGGTATATGGCTCAGCTGTTGTCTTAAGCCCCTTCCAGAGAAACAAAAAGGAGAGCCTAATGGCAGTGCACCATCATTTGGACTTGAGTGTTGTCTTGATTTTCCCAGCCTACTTACGCATAACGGTATGGAATGTAGGTTCTGCTTGGTGGGAGGCTAGAATCTGGGCAACATCCTTGTAGTCACAGGGTGAACACAAGCCAGTTGCACATTCGTGCCTTAGTGACGCTGGCAAGGGCTGACATTTTGCTCCCTTACCTGCTGGTGCTATGGTTTAAGGAGAATGGGAGTGTCACAGCAGTGACAGGCAGAATGTGGTCCAGCCTCACAGCTTTGTAGAGGAGAAGGGCAGCAAACCCCAGAGACAGCCACCACTCTGAGCTGTTGGCGGGGCTTCACCCTTGCTATTTCAGTAACAGGCACATCATTATGCCTTATGTGGATTTGTTTCACTCATTCGATACTGAGGCCTGCTATGTGTGTGCCAGGCACTGTTTGGGACATTTGTTTGTTTTTTAAGATTTTATTTATTTGAGAGAGCACACAAGCAGGGGAGGGGTAGAGGGGCAGAGGGACAAGCAGATTCCCCGCTGAGTAGGGAGCCTGACTCGGGGCTCGATCCCAGAACCCTGAAATCATGACCTGAGCCGAAGGCAGCCGCTTAACTGAGCCACCCACGTGCCCCGGTTTGGGACATTTGTGGACCATTTTTGTGGCCTGTAGTGTCTTTCATCCTAAAAAAAAGTCCTGTGAAGCAGCCCTTCTCTACATTTGATAGAGAAAATTGAAATTCATAGTGGTTCAGTGACTTGCGTGAGGTTGCACAGTTAGTTGACAGAACCAGAATTTTAATTTGAGCCTTTAACTCTTTAAGTCTGGTTTTCTGTGGTTTCAGTGAAATTTTTAAACAAATGCTAGTGCCCAGGCGTCTGCAGCAGTGATGGAAGGGTGAAGGGATATTTCCGATTTCCAAGTTCACTTTTAGCTTGCTTTCCATGTACCAAGAACCAAGTATCAGCATCACCAAGGCTCTGTTTTATTGAGATATTATTGATACTAGTTTCAGGTAACAATTCAATATTGTAAGTATTGCAGAATGGTCCATCCATTTTTCTTGTGATGAGAGCTTTTAAGATCTACGCTCTTGGCAGGTTTCTGATACACAATAATACAGTATTAACTGTAGTCACCAGGCTGTATATTAATTACATCCCCAGGACTTATTTTGGCTTTGTTTTTTTTTTTTTTAAGTGGTGATTTGGCCTGGTCAGGAGTTTGGGTACATTCCTTTCCCCTGTGAACTTGAGCCAGCTGGGAGAGGGCTTGCTTGACTGATCCACTCAACCTGGGCAGAGAAGGGGGAAGAAAGCAGAGATGTCGGGGTCTGCTCCCATGAAGCTTGGAGGTGAGGGCCGTGGCCACCACACCTGAGGTAGGTGGTCCGTAAGAGTTTGAGCATTTGGGATGGACATCAGCATAAGGCAGGGACTCGACTGTAACATGGCCCAATAGATGTCTATCTTCCTGGTTTTACCAGTCTGGTAAATTCCTCCTGGGGGTAGGGTATAAGGGAGAAGTCTGCATGAGAAGATACACCTGTCCCCTGAGGGCTAAGAAGGGGATGTGGGGCTGGGAGGAGAAGGCTGCTCCCCTTTAGAGGCTTCTGGTCAATCATAGCTTGACAGATTAGGGGGTATGGCTCAGGACTAAAGCATTTGACTGCAGAACTTGACAGATTATTCCAGGCTTGGATGGGTACAAACTTCCCTGGATGTGACATCCAGCTGGACTCACTTCAGCTGCTGAACAGGTGGGCAAACAAGCAGACTTGTGCTGTTGTTCTAACTCCCGGTCTTACAGCTGGCCCAAGCAAGGGTTAGGCACAAACCGAAGGAGCCAAGACGCACTGGCCCTGGGTCCATCCATGTTGCCAGCTGGCCCCATGGGCCACTGTGCTGTGATTGCCCAGAGGTCCTTGGGGAAATGGGGCGCCATGCAGTCCTGCAGCCCTCTCAGAAGTGAAGGAGTCCCGAAAGGATATTTCAACTCACTTTTGGTGGCTGCAGAACCATCAGGGCATTGGAAGCTGAGGATAAAGATCTCAGATCCTCACACTGTCAGCAGGTAGACAGGGGTCCTTGAGGCTACCAGGCACCTGGAGTTGGGAACCTCCCTGGTAGTGCCCAGCTCTAGAGGGCCCCAGTGACAATGACTGACCTGGGAGAGTGGGTCAGGATAATAGACCTCCCAGATTGAGTGCAGAGAAAGGATAAATTCATTAGCAACTTGAGCAGACTCCTTTGCAGAGTCAGAGGAAGATGCTGTGTAGTAAGCACGGGCTCTGGAATCGGGCAGATCCGGATGTAAGTTCTGGCTCTGCCTCTGCGACATTTGATTAGCTTCTCTGCTCGTTTCCTCATCTCTGAAATGGTCATAGGCATAGGCTCTAGGCTATTGGAAGGCTCATCAAGATTATGCCTGCAAAGCTCTTAATGTGGAGCCAGACCAGAGCTTAGTAGAACTGTTATTGGTTGCACAGAAGCCTGGGGCACAGGGGTGACAGAAACTCCAACGGGGAGGTAGATAAGACAAAAGGATGTGTTATGTGGAAGAAAGGGGAGAACTGGGAGGACCCCGAGAGTGGGCCCCTGACTGGCTTCATGAAGTGGGGCCTAGAAACGAACAGCAGCTGTCAGCTTAGCATCATGCGGGCAAAGAGGCTCTCCCGCACTGTAGACCACAGGGCGTACCCCGAGGCCCGAAAGAGGAGCAGATAGGTGGCTGCGACGGCCACCTTGCGTGTGTGTCTGGGTGCGCGTGTGCAGGGCAGTGTGTAGATTAAGAGGAGGAGGGCGGGTACCACGTGGTAGTGGCTGGGCCTGGGGACCCCGGGACTGGTATAGGCTCCGCAGGGGCTACGGTTGCTGGTGGGGGCCCGGGGCATTTTATCTATCCGCAGATAGGTATTGAGCCTGTGCCAAGTCCTGTGCCAGTTTAACAGAGTGAGTACTGTGCATGGAACGCGTGCCCTACCTTGCTGGGGGAAAGAGCTTTTTGTTTCCTTCCCCAGATCACTGAGCCCATCAGGTCCCAGCTGAGGGAGGCGCTGACACAGGGACATTGGAAACTCCTTTATTACCCTGAGTATAACAACTAGAACACAGTCACAGTATAAAAAAACAGCAGGAAGTAAGTGCAGGCAATGACACAAAGTATGCACTGGGGACACGCTCCTTTCAGGGTCTGCAGCTAGTTATTTGGAAGAAGCCAGTTAGGATTGTAAAAATTTTCTCTTTAATAACAATTTCACTAAAATTATACAAAGTACATTCAATACTTAAGGGGAGGGAGGAAGCCAGTTTGGCCCGGAAGTATCATCTGTTGGCTCCAACAAAGGAAGCCCAGCTGAGCTGGGGGAAGGTGGGGGGGTGCAGGTCTGGTTGTAGAAAATAAAAACGTGGATGGGTTAAAAACAAGGCCCCTTCCCCCCGCCCCACCAGGAAGCAGGGTGAGCGTGCACGTTCCTGGGAGGGCGGGAGGCCCAGCCGGCATGCTGCTGCTGGGCCTGGGCTGGTGCTCAGGCAGGCTCCGAGTGGGTGGGGGGCAGGTTTTTATGCTTGAAATACTGCACGACTTGTTGGGGCAGTTCTGCCAACACAGCTTTGGCCAAGGTCTCTTTCGCTGCCTGTGGGGCCAAGGGGGAGGTGGAGAGGAGAGATAGGAAGGGTCAGTGGAAGACCATGGTGAGGGGGCTCCATGCCCAGACTGCTTTAAGAGACGGTGTCCCTGGAGGACAGAATCAGGGCCAGGGCTGTCTAGAACTCGAGTCCCTTGTCCCAGCCAGGGTCTGAAACCCCACTGCTAGCACTGCTTTTCCTTTACCTGAAGTCTAACTCTTTCCTTGAGCACTTGAGATGCCCGGGGATCGCATTTTAAGATGAATGTGTCTGTGGGAGGCTTTTTAGGGAAAGAGACAGTGGAGGCGAGCTGCACAGCCTACTCACCTGACAGACATTTCCTGAGCACCTTCTTGGCCCATATAAATGGGCCAGGACTATCTGGCTCACTGCTGAATGCTCAGCCACAGGCCAGCCATGGGGAGGTGCTCAGTCAGTATCCTGTGCATGAATGGGGGGCCGAGGCCCAGCATATGTCCTCAGGAAACCAAGGCTCCAGAGGAAGGAGTTGGACCACCTCAGGCAAACCCAGAGGGCACTGGGTAGAGGTGTGAGCACCACTGGGTAATAAAGCAGTGGTAAGTTCTTGCTAGGACTGGCTTGTAGGATCTGCACCACAGAACCCCAAGAGTCCCTATGGCTGAGGGCACCAAGGTCTGGAGAGGTCAGGGACTTACCCAAGGCCACACAGTAAGCATCTAGTTAAATAAGAGTTGGGCTCCCAGGTGATGGGACAGGGGTGGCATCTGAGACTGCTCCCCCTGGGATCCTGGTGGGTCCAGCTGCTAGTGCAGTGACCTTGTGGGCAGACCTGGGGTCACCTGCAGATAGGCTCAGAGCCACCTCCAGGAACAAGGTGGGGCCACCAGTCCCCGTGCAGGACAGGCCAACCTAAGATGTGCCTCGTTTTCTATCTGTGAAGTAGGCTGGTTGAGGTGTGACTACCCCCAAAAGCCTCTCTCACCCCTGGGCCTTTGCTCTCAGCCCCCTATCTGCCTGGAATGCTTTGCCCCACCTGGATAACTCCAACTTCTGGTTCAGGACCTTGGTCGGAGGGCAGGGCCTCCCTGAAACCCTGCGCTGGAGCCCCAGTGTGGGTTGAGCACCGCTCCCTAGGTTCCATGAGCTTGCTGGAGCTGGTGCTCACATGGTCGTAGGGGCTCGTGGGGGCGGGGCCCTCGGGCAGCACACAATAGAGCAGAGGGCAGAGGAGCCCAAGACAGTCATCCTTATTAACTCTGGTTGCTGGGGTCCCCTAAGCACCCCCTCCCCAGCCTGGGCCCACACTCACGTTGCGGAACTCTCGGAAGGGCACGAACTGCACGATGTCACGGGCCGCCTCCTCCCCGGTGTGCGAGCGCAGCGTGCGGCTGTCCCCGTCCAGGAACTCCATGGCGGCGAAGTCAGCGTTGCCCACGCCCACGATGATGATGGACATGGGCAGCTTGGAAGCCTGCACCACGGCGTGGCGCGTCTCCTCCATGTCACTGATGACGCCGTCCGTGATGATGAGGAGGATGAAGTACTGCTGCAGGGAAGAGGCAGCCAGGTGCTCTGAAGTCTCTGGCCCCCCTTCCCCGGCCTCCCAAAACCCTCTGACCCCTGGGAGGACAGCTCTTCATGCCCAGCTGCCGCCAAATCCCAGCCCCAGCCCCCCACCCCTGCAGGCCTCTGGCCATCCAAACCCTGACCTGGTCCCAGCCCGAGGCACAAACTGCCCTCTTCCCCCTGCCCTGGCTGTGACCTTAGACACTGCAGCTCAGTGCCAGGGCCCCAAACTCCAGGCCTGGCCCTCCAGTTGCTCTGCTGTGGGGCTCGGGGCAGCTGGCTGACGTTGCCGCGCCTCCGCTTCGTCATCTGCACAGTGGCAGTTGCTGTACCACAGCGGAGCTCTGTGCCCGAGAACTGCATCCCTGGCGGACAGGCCCACGGCCGGGGAGGGAGGCGCATCCTGGCCGACCCGGCCCAGCCTCGCCTTCTCCGCCCTGCACAGATCCCTGCAAGCTGCTCCTTCCCCGGCTGCAGGGCTGGCCTCTGAGACAGGCTGCCTGGCACACAGGCCGGTGCTTCTGGGCACACACAGCCTCAAGGCACAGGATTACTTCTGCAGAGGTCTTTCACTTCCGCGGACGGTACCCAGGAGGGAGTCTCGGGTCGGTTCTAGTGGGCCTTTAAGGCCTCTCATGTGCTCACCTTCCTTATTAACAGAGGCGGGAAGCGCAGAGCTTCAGGGGACAACAGTTTCTAGCTAGACTTCAATACCAGGTACAATTTGTTTTTCCCGTTACTCTCTATATATGGCAAGCGGTAACTTTTCACTTACGGTGGGCTATACAGTTTCCTTATAAAATTATTTAAAAATACTGATTAGCATGGGCATGTATGGCCATAGCATGGACTGTTAACGGGACATGGTGGGCACATGAGGTTCAGGAAGGCTCCCTAGATGGCCTGGGCAGAGGCCCCAGAATACCAAGCCAGCTGACACCTTAGTGTCAGCTCTGTCCTTAGCACCCTCTGGCCCCTTTTTAAGGAACCTGGTTTGCCCCATCTGTAAAATAAACAGAAAAGCCCTATATGGCCCTAATATTCTTTGAGGCTTTTGCCTTCTAGTCTGATCCTTCTGGTTCTCAGGAGAGGAAAAAGGGGGCCAGACTAGTCCAGGTCATAGAGGGCAGAACTGAGCCAGACCCCAGGTCAGCACCTGGCCACCTTCTCACCCAGCAAAACCATTTGCTCACTGGGAACCATACAGAGGCTACAAGTTTAGCCCCCTAGGATGCCCTACTCTCCTGCTTGTCGCCCACGCACAGCCCTAGCAGGAGCGGGTGAGCCGCTCGGAGGTGTAGACCCACCATCCTAACCCACCTCCTGCACTGTGCCTTTAAGAGACTGAGCCCTTGGTGCTGGGGATACCTGTTGCTATGGAGATGGCAGCCTGGATCCCTGCAGTGGAGGGCAGCAGCTGCCAGCCCCCCATACCTGTGGTTGGAGGGCCTTATAAGCCCATCTACACCCTTGTCCCCCACAGCCCACCGTCATTCCAGCACCCCTTCTGTAAATGGCCCTCTAACCCCACTCCCCTCCCGCCAGAAATAGTCCAGGGCAAGATTTCCGGGGCACCTAAGCTGGCAGGACAGAAGGCACGGAAGGTCCTGGTGAGGAGGAGGGAGAATGCCTGGCCTCAATCTACAGGTTCACCACTTAGGGCAGGACTGGCATCCCACCCTCCCCCCATGCGGCCCTCAGCTTTCTCCTCTCACTCAGCTGCACGTCTATACCAGGACATTGGAGCCTCAGGCCTGGGCCTCCCCCAGGCCTTGGATCCTCCTTCCCAGGGAGGCGGGCGCAGCCTGGGGCTGGGTTCCCGCAAGACCATGGGCACCACCTGACAGGGTGAGAAAGTCCCTGCTAATGCACCACAGTGCACAGACCCTGCCATCCTCACGCTGGGATTCTGTTTTAGAGATGAGGAAAGGGCTTAGAAGGGGGTTCAGCGACTGCTGGGAACTGGCACAGTCTAGATCCATACACAAGCCTGGCTGACTCCAGAGCTGGGGCTCTTTCCACAGCGTCCCCCTCTGCCACCCCTGTCCCTCCCGTCTTGGTGGCCCGGCCTCTCCAGTAATGGGCCCCGGCAGGAGGAACTTTCCGCACCCTCTCACCCCACTGTCTAGACTGTCAGACGGTCTCAGTGTCTAGGCCAGCAGCCCAGGGAAGAGCCAGAGCCATGGCACTGGACATGAACCCTCACTCCTGTGTGTGCCAGCCAGCCAGCCATAATATCCACAGCCATGGGCCTGATCTCAGCTTCTGCCCAGCCAGGCCAGCCTTGGCAAGGGACCTGCAGCTAACATGTCCTGTGCTTCTCACCCACCCCAGGCGGAGCCTCTATATTCCACTACAACCCCAAGGCTCTACAGCCCCACCCCCAAGACAGAAATGGGAGGGGCTGTAGACAAGGAGAATGAAGGGCAGAACCAGGCAGGAGGAGGTGGGAAAGGGTGCTGCTGTCCCCACAGACAACCCTGGTGGTCTCCCCACCCCCAAACTTTCCCACCTCCACGCCCTTCCTGGTACCCTTCCTCCTGCCTGGCATACCCTTCCAGCCACAGTTCCAAGACCCATTGGAGCGTCTGCGCCTCCATCCCAAGCCGGTGGAAGGCCCTCCACAGCCCGGAGCTCCACTTCCCCTGCCCGCATTACCCCTTGCGGGGGGCGGGGGGTGTCTCCTCTGGAGATTCCTCTCCCCCACCGGACACCCGAGTGCTCCTCCAGGCAGCTCTTTGCAACCCTCTTCAGCATCTCCCAGCTCTGGCACCCCGTCCCTGCCCCAGAACCACAGTCAATCACCGTCAGGTCCAACCAAAAATCAAAGCACCCAACACCATTCAAGGATGGAGTAGCTTTTGCCTTTACCCAGAGGTTCTTCAGGCTTCTGGGACTGTAAATAGCCACTTCCCCTAAAGCGTTTAACATACCAGATTTATAAGAAACCGACCACAACAATTCCAGTCAGTCTGGGTGAGCTGCTCCCTGGCTTATTTCTGGAAGTTGGCTGCCAAAGACCCTTGGGGTGGGGGGAAATTCCAGGGCCCTGTGTCCCAGCTCCCCCTCCACTAGGACACCAGATACCTAGGTAGCCAAGCAGGAATGGGCCATGGACAGCGAGACCCAGGGTTTACGGGCAGAGAGAAGGATGGGGGCCCCATAATGGGGATCGTCTCGCCCTTTCTGAACCTCTTAATACCCTCAGTGGCTCCCCATGGCCCTCAAGAAAATCCAGGGTCCTCATTGCCTTCCAAGGCCCTGTGGTAGCTGGCTCTCTCCTACTCCCAACTCACTCCTCTCACATCAAGACTTCTTCCTTCAGTTAGGTCCAAACACCCTGCCTCCTGGGCTTTGCATATGCTGTCCCCTCTGCCTGGGGCACTCCACACCCATGCACACACATGACTTTTACGTGGCTAACTCTTAAGCATCCTCCACGTCTCAGCCTGGACATCACTTTTCCAAGAAGACTTCCCTGAGCCCTCTGGGTTAGGTGCCACCTTTAGGAGACTGGGCCTTTGTCAGCACAGGTTTAATCAGTGCATCACAGCTGCTGTTTCCCCAGCCAGGTTCCCCACTAGACTGCAGGCTCTGGGAGGGCAGAGGCCGTGCATCATGGTCTCCCTAGTGCCGCACAGAAATATGCTCCGGAAAGATGGGTTGTGTGTGTGAACGGGAGAGTGCAGGCCTGCCTAGAGCAATGCCTCCTACCATCTGTTCTCAAGTTCCTGTACGTGGGTGTGCACGCGTGTGCATATGTCTAGGGCCAGGGAAGGTGAAACCACACTGAGTATTGCCTCCCCCCGCAAAGCGGCTGTATAAAAGTAGCGCTTAATCCACAATTTATTTCCCTTTGCCTTGGGTCTAACTGTGCTCAGGGGCATCCCCAGAAGTCCTTACTGTGTGCCAGGCACCGTGCTGAGCAATTCACGTGCCAATCTGGTTGAATCCTGTTTCTAGCAGGCAGCCACTGTTCAGCACCTCCACGGTACAGGAGAGGAAACAGGTTCAGAGAGCTTCAAGCAAGCTGCCCTGGGTCACACAGCCAGGCAATGGAGAAGCTGGGGTCTGAATGGGGTCGATGGGCCTCGGGAGCTCAAGGCTGAGCCATCAGGCAGCACCACCTCTGGTGCACGGTGAGCTGCAGGCTAGAGCCAGGCCGGAGGTGGAGAAGCGGATCTGTTTGGACATCAGGGTGAGAGGGGCTGATAGAGACTCTCCGGTCCCACTCCTGCTGGGGGATGGCCCAAGTCACAGGGATGGGGGCACGGCATCCTGGAAGGTGAGGATGCCCAGAGAAGGCTGCCTCCCCAGGTTGGAAGGACCGGGTCATGACCAAAGTGGCTGGGGCACCGAGTGTGCCGGATCCTTGCCTTGAGACCACCAGGGTGCTGCCTAAAAGTGGCTGGGGTGTTGAGAGGATCAGGACTGGGCAGAGAAAGGGCCAAGTTTCCCGCTCCAGGGAGCCCTCAGCATTTGTTCCCTAGAACACCAAGATCCCCTTCCTGGCCTGCCCCAGGGCCCCAGGCCCCTTTCTGCCTAGAGCACACCTCCTGCGCTGTCCCACCCTGGCTCCGCCTGGCAAGAACACGGGCCTCGTTCCTGCTACCACACCCGTTCTTCCTGTTCAACAAGGATGCGTGCCGTTTCTGCCATCCGTTTCACAACTGGCTCAGGCCGCTAACAGACGGGGCGGGACAACGGCCTGGCTGACCACAGGCATCCAAGTGGTGCAAGCCCAGGGGCTGCCTCGCCAACCAATTCCAGCCCTGTGCCCCCAGGAATTAAAAACCAGCCCCTCCCAGGCCTTGCCTTGGTCGCTGTCCCATTCAGGTGGCCCCAGATCCTCCCAGCACCCCGCGGGGGGGGGGGGGGCCTTCCTTCGCACCTTTCATACAGGAAATGGGCTCAGAGCAGGAGGGGGCCTGTCTCAGGCCCTCAGCGGCAGGCACAGCTGGCACTACAGCAGATCCTGCTCCCGGAGGCAGAAGACACCCGGACCGCCTTCCTTCTCCCCCAGCCCTTGCGCCATGACCTCCTTCCTGCCGGCCCTGGCCTCTGCAGTCTGCTCTGCCTGTCCTTCCTCATCCCCCAGGTCTCTCTGGGGGCAGGTGCTGTGTGATCTTGCTTAATCTGAACACCACCTAGTAGGTCTTATTCGTTTCCCATCGTACAGACAGTGACTCGGAGGCTCAGGGAGGTTCCGTGCTTTGCCCAAGCCACAGGGAGGAAAGGGTGGAGCCCGGATTCAGACTCTGGCAGCCTGACATCCCCCAGCAGGAGTGGGACCGGCAGCCCCCTTCCACCTCCCAAACAACCAGACTGGGTCCTGCTGTCCTGCCCTCCCCAGGGCGACCCTGGTGTCCTCTTCTCTCGCTCAACCTCTACAGCCTCCATCTTTGCTGCCACGCCCAGAAGCCAACCTCTGCCTCCCTAGGAATCAGGAAGGGGTCTCGCTCCTCTGGTGGGCCCAATGGGACCAGGTCCTTTTCCCTCTGGGAGGGGCGCTGGCGGGCATCCCCGCCCCCTGCCACCCGAGCCTCGCACAGCACTCCCACGACGGGGCCCACAGATTCATCCACCCCCGGGCGGGGTGAGTGCCTGCCATGGGCCGGATGGTGGCAAACACGCAACAGCCTGGCCAGTGGGGCTGGCGGTCGGGGGGGCGGGGGACACACCACGGATGAGGAGACATGGAGAAGGTAAACTAGATGTCGCTGCCATCCTCAGAGTCCAGATGAGAATCAACAGAGAAGGCGGGAGATCAGCCTCAGAGGGGTGGTCAAAGAAGGCCGGGGGGGGGGTGGCATCTGAGGGGACACCGAGGAATGGGTAGAACCAGCAGGGCAGAGGGTCTGCAAGGGGTACAAGCTTGTGTGTTTGAGGGACAGGAAGAGGGTAAGATCAGAAGGGAAGGCAGGCATGAGGGGTAGGAGAGGAGGTCTCTGTGGAAGGGAGTGGCTAGGGAGTGGCAGGCTCCGACAGGACCCCTGCAGGAGAATGGATTGTAGGGGCCAGAGACAGAAACTGGTGGCCTTGGCGCTGGGAAGACAATCTGAGATACCATCTTGGAGGTAGAATGAAAAGGACAGTCTAGAAGGGACGTCAGCCTGGGCGCAGACTCTTCCTTTCCAAAGGGGAAGCCCAGAGCAGGCCACAGGCTTGGGAAGAAGGTCTCCCAGTGGGGAGCGGCCAGGCAGGAGGCAGACCTAAGTCTCCTTGGTGACAGCCCAGGCTCCACCACCCAGAGCTAGGAGCTGGGTTTCCAGCCTTGGCTGGAACCTGACAAGCTGGCCTGGGGAGGGCTACGTGTGGCACCACCCCTGGGGCTGGGGGAGATGGCTTCATGCCGCATAGCCAAGTCAGGGCAAATCCTGGTAGGTGCAGGGCGAAGTGGACAAGGTGACCCTTGGTGACCCCAACACTGGCATTAGGCCTGAAACTAGAGGGCAGAGACAGGACCAGGGATGCAGATGCCATCAATAGCCGTCTGCCATGTATTCCAGATGCCACACAGTCGCCCTGGCAACCTCCCACCAGGCTGCCTCTAGCATCGTCACTGAGCACTGGGCCAGGGCCAGACAGTGGCCCAGACAGTGGCCCAGAAGGTCAGCTTTAAGGCTGCAGGGACCACCGTCTCTTGGTTTCCATGTGTCCCAGGAATAACGAACACCGCCTGCCCTGGGGAGGCACCTCCCACTGATTACAGTCTGATGTCCTACTAAGCATGAACGGAATCACTGTGTCTTTTTCAAGCCTGTGCTCCGGAAAGCCAGGATCAATCGAGTTGAGCTTGGTCCAACCCCCTTACCATACTTGCAGGTAAACCGAGGCAGAGAAAGCCAAATACCCAGCTCACCAGCCCCATGGGGGTGGGCGGAGTAGGGGCGGACCTCAGTCTGGCCCTCCTGTCAGGCAAGGAGGGCCCAGCCAGGGCCAGCCCTCTCCCGCACACCCACGGCGGCGGCTGCCTACTCACCGTGGCCGTCTGCTGCTGTGTGGCCTGGGCCGCAAACCGCGCCACGTGGTTGACGATGGGAGAGAAGTTGGTGGGACCATAGAAACGGATATGGGGCAGGCAAGCCGAGTATGCCTGGGCGATGCCATCCACACCTGCCTCGCGGGGGGCGGGGGGAAGACTGCATCAGCCTCGGTCCCCCCTGACCCTTCACCCATCCTCATCCCATTTGCAGATCCTGCCTCTACTTCATGCTCGCCCCAAACGCCCCTACGGTGGCCAGCATGGGTCCCGTGAGACCAGAAGCTCCCAAAGGGCAGGGCCAAGATGGTATAAAGCAAAGAGCCCTGAATATGGAGTCAGGCAGACCCGAGTTCAAATCCTGCCTTTGGCACTTCCTAGCTGTGGGACCTGAGGCAAGTTGTTTAATCTTTCGGAGCCTGTTTCCTTGTCTGGCAATGGGACTGATAATCTTCACTCGGGCAGCTGGCCAGAGGAGGGCTCAGCAGGCTCTTCCCAGGGAAGGGACTTGGCGGCCGGCCATCTTGACGTCCATTCTGGCTATGCTACAGTTTTTGCCGAGGGTTGCTCGGGGGCGGGGGGGGGGGGGGGGAGGACACGGAGATGCTTATGTAGCCCCAGCACACAGTAGGTGCTCTGTAAACGGCCACCATTATAAGACGACGACTATCCCACAGCCCCGTGGTCCTATCCAGGCAGCCTCTAGCTGGGGAGGAGGTTGATCGACCTGATTTTGGACAAAGTCTCTGGAGACCTGCTCCAAACTAGACAGAGCCCAGGAGTAGTACCAGCTACATTTCTGGCCAACAGATGCCCATGGCTTCTGAGTCACGGCATCGTTCCCAAGTTGGTGACTTGATGCATTTCCCTTCCAAGTACAAACTGGGCCCAGCTGTGGGAATCCCCAGGGAAGGCAGATGCTCTATCCAAGCCAAATCCTAGGCCGGAAGGTCTCATGAGGGCGGGGCCCACCCTCTTCCATATCTACCTGGAGCCCCCTTCCTCTTCCAGTAGTCTCTTAATTGATTCTGGAGGCTCAGAAATCCTCTGAGGCCGAGGGGGCAGAGGTGAGCACAGGCACCACTCACTGCCTGCCCCTTTCTCCCCCGACTCCCACACCGGCAACCCTCAGTCCTTGGTTGCCAGGGCTCTTTGTGGAAGGCAAGAGGGAGCAGGGTGGGGCAGAGATGGGCCCTTCAGCAAGGGTGGGTGGGAGGTGAGACAGGTATATAATCTGCTGCCCTTACCTCCTCCTGTCCTACACAGGGCTTCCTGTCAACGCTTCCCTTAATTCTCACCTGACGCACCGCCTGAGGTGAGCTAAGCAGGTATCACACTCCCTGGGGCAGGTGAGGAGGCAAAGGCCCTGAGAGAAGCAGTGATCTCTCCCAAGGTCACACAGCCAGGAAAGGGCAGCGGCTGGCCTTGCATCCAGGACCACCTGACTCCAACCTCCAGCTCTGCCCCATCTGTCATTAGGAGCAAGCATGAGGGGGAGGGTATGGGAGCACAAGACAAAACCTATATGCTGCCCCTCCCTCCGCCCAGGGCAGGTGCAGGCAGGCTTCGCACTCACCTGAGCAGAAGGGGTTGGTGGGGTTGAAGTTGATGGCAAACTCATGGGAGACCTGAAATGTAGAGAAAATGCTGGGCCGGCAGCCTTCTGGGCCCAGGCCCCACCCACTGCCCGGCCAAAGCTCCCTCTGGGGCACCTGGCTTTTCATGCCCCATCCCCACCCCCAGGTCAAGGCTATTGATCCCCCTCCCCCATCTGCTTTCACCTCCACTGCTAGGATTGAGCCACACAGAGAGGTCTGACTACTCTCACTTCATAATGGGTGCACATCACCCTAATCTCTTCTGGGGGGTCAGCGCTTCCTGTGCCTCCTCGACCCCCTAAGAGAGTCCCGGAGTGGGACAGAGGGGACTCTGGGGACATCCAGGTGGGTTCCAGGAGCACCTGGACTGCTCCTTTGTCACACACTCTGAGGTTCCACTTCTTTGGGCCCCAAGGGCTTTCCCCAACTTCACGGTTGGCACGACTGCTAGCAAAAGAGCCCACGGTATGCCAGCGAGCCAAACTGGGGATCAGCGGACAGCCTGCTCAGCTGGACTGGGGATCAGGAAGCATCATGAGGCCAGAGGGGGCTGCTTCCAGCCCCAGCCCTGTGGATCCTGCGCACTCCCAGATTGGGGAACACAGAGGAACACTAACCAGACACCATTCGGGGCTGTAGTAGGACTGCGGTGGCTACAGAACCCAGGGCCTCGGGGGGCCGGAGCTCACATGGGGGCCTCCCCACTCTCCCTCCTGCTGCGGTCTCACAGCCAAAATCCCCACTCAGCCCCCCTCCCTACTGCACGCCAAACCCCATGTTCAGAGCTTTGCAGGCATCCCCTCGCTCCCGGCCATGACTCAGTGGGCAAAGGCCTCTTACTACCCCATTTCCAGATGATGAGACGGAGACACACAATGATCTAGAATGTTCCCAGGGTCTCACATTTACTGAAAGACAACGTTGGGACCAGAACCGAGGTCAGGCTGCCTCCTGAGCCCATGTTCCCCGAACCCACTAACCTCAGAAGGTGTTCCTCTCCGTAGGAGGGCTGACGCCATCTTGTTTATCTGCACAATGACCTCCCTCGGGGGGCTACGTGTTCTAGGCCCCGGGGAGGTTAACTGTGCCCACGTGGGAATGCAGGTGGGCTTGTTCTGATCTTCTCTAAAGTGGCGCACACGGGGCCCTACTTAAGCTAACCAGCAGAGATGGCGGGCACACAGGGGGCGCCACTTTAGAGCCCTACCCCGTGGCCTCACCACCATACCCCTTGCTCCCGCCTGGGTGGGGGAGGGCTGCATGCTGCCTGGAGGGCCGGCCCGCAGTAAGTTACCCTGAATTAAATTGTGTCAACGGAGTGGCTGGCTTCATTTTTTGGCCTGAAAGTGCCTTCTTAGTCTGGAGGATATTTACTGACCCTCCTCCATCTTCTCACACTCTCCCATGGGTTTTAAATTAGGAAGATGAAGAGGTCTAGGGGAATATCTGCCAGGTGAGAGCTTTATTCTGGGCGCAAACACTCCCAGACTCTTTAGCTCCCAGACATTACAACGTGTGTGCTGGAAGGCCCCACCAAGTCCAACGTGCCCATTTCACAAGTAAACTGAGGCCCAGAGAGGGAAAGGCAGGTACCAAGGCCACACAGCAGAACAGGCCTAAGACCTGAGCCCCCCCACGCCTTGAGAGGGTGTTGGAGTCCTGGCCTTGCTAAACCCTCCTGGGCCAAGAGAGGTGAACCCTCCAGTACGGGGAGTTCACCCCAGCAGGGCCCTAGGGGTGGGGGGGATGGCCTGAGGAGAAGACTCTTCCCTGTTCGGGGGGGGGGGGGCGGGGGGGGGCGGAAATAGCTTTTCTGTTCTTTGCTCCCTCAGCCCTAAGGGCTGGCATGGAGCTGGTCCCCTGATGTCCCTCTTGGGTGCTCTCCCTGCCCTGGGGCCCTCTTCATCCTGTCCCTAGTCTGGGCTCCAGCTGTGGGGGCTGGAGGTCCTCATTGCCATGGCAACTTGATGAGCCTCTATAGGGACTAAGAGGGGGGCTTGTACCGAGAGGTTGAGAGAGGAAAATGGTTGCCAAGGAAACCGGCCTCCCTGGGCCAATGACTTCCCGCAAAATCAGATTTTCGGAGATTTTAGAGACCAAGGGGGAAAGCCCCCTCCTGGTAAGGATGGAGCAATATTCTGCTTTCTGGGCCACCCAACCTCTTCATTCCTCACTCCTCCCCCCCCGCCCCGCTTTCTTTGCCGGAAGGCCTGATGGTCCAAGCGGATGGGGCTGTGAAGGTCACGCATCCAGCCCGGAGGCCCCTCGGGTCACCTACTCCAGCAGCTCCACTTCACAGGTGGAAAGACTGAGGCTCAGAAGGGGTCAGGGAATGCCCAGGTGACACAGTGAGCCACAGCAGAGTCAGGCCCAGATCTGGGAGACACGGGCGTGCGGCTTACAGCAGCTCAGCCGCTCCCACGCCCGCTGCCCTGGTTTGCCTGAGAAATGCCAGTAAACAGGACAAGTTTCCTGGAGGCTATAAGCCAGATTAGGGGCCCCTGGGGACCTGCTGGCCACAGGTCTTTGTCCTGGGACTCCCTGCTGCCTTCTGACAGTCAGTGCTTCTGGTCACCTAGCCTGGCCCCTGGCCTCTGGGTTACTTAAGATGCTGCTCCCTGTGGCCCTGGCGGGGGAGGGCACAAGAGAGGGAGCTGAAGGGACCCCAGAGGGACTGTCCTCTCCGAGTCTCAGTTACCCAGCCTTACAGTGGGGAGAGTCACAGCCTGTGCTGTGGGCCTAGACCTTTCCTCCTGCCTGACCCCTCTTTTCATCGGACCAACTCTGGCTCATTCTGAACGTCCAAGGCTTCATGCCATCTCAAGGAACTGCTTTCTGAGTCCCTCAGCCACTGGCCAGGGCAGGGGTCCTTTTTGGGTGCACCTGGCCCAGCCCCAGGGAGGAACGACGGTCCTAAGGGCAAGCAGCTGAGTCGCATGTTCCTTCCAGCTTCCCACCCTCAGAGAACCAACACCTGTCTCCTCAGGCTGCTGGGCCCCAAATTCACTCTGTCAACAAACAAGTAGACACCCAGTGTGTGCCAGGAGCCAGGACACAGGAGGAAACCAGGGGCCCTCCCGGACTGCTGAGCTCTGGAGGGAGGCGACAAATGAGCAAACCCACACATACTGAGGTGACCATAAGGTTCTGTGAGGACAGAGCCCGGGACGGGAGGAGGGGCCCCCCATGAGCTCCCTCAGGGAAGGCCTCCCACAGGGAATGCCCTCGTGGCCTCTAGAGTGGGGGGAAAAAAGTGAAAAGGAGTAACAGGCCAGGGGAAGGCCACGTGCAAAGGCCCTGAGGCGGGAATGAATGAGAGAAGGTTCAAGTGGCAGGAGCCAGGCAAGTTAGAAGGGGAGGGAGGTAAGGGGCCGCGAGAGGCCGGGCCTGGCAGGGGAGGTGGGATGCACCATCCGCCCTCGCCCGGCCTGGCTCTGGCAGCCCTCCTGGCACCACCGGGCACTCCAGCCTGGCCAAGCCCTGTGTTGCCCTGTGACATTTCCAAGGAGGCTTTTGAGCGAGAAAACCTCTCATTCAGCCAGAGTTCTCTCAAAGCTGGCGGTGTCCTAGCAACGGGCTCCTGCCGGGCCTGGCCGCCCCAGCCTGCCCCGCCCCCAGTGGCATCGCGGTCTGCCCAGAGGCCCAGCTTTGGTCCTGCAGGATCCTGCCCCCGCCCCGGGCCCACCGTCCGATAGCCAGCAGGCCACAGAGCCACTCCCTGAAATTCGAGGTGAAGATCGTCCCTCCCCAGCTCACTCTGGAAAACAGCAGGGGGCACAGCAGGGCAGACGAGAGGGGGCACGAGCTGAGACACGCATGCAGGCTTAGGAGCCCTCTGTGCCCATCCCCAGGCTTCTCACTGGAGGGGGAGCAGATTCTGAGAATAAACTTCAGGGTCCGCTTGCCCAGCTGGAATTAAACATGGCCTTGGGCAAGTCCTCTGAGCCTCTGTTTTTCCGCCTGTAGAATGGCCATCACTCCTTCTCTTCATCTCTCCGTCCTGCCCATCCTCACCCCAGCCAGTCCCCCACTCAGCAGTCAGGGCGGGCCTTCAAAATGGCAGCTGGCTGAGAACACCCCACACGGACCCCGCAGTGGCCGCCCTTTGCTGTTTAACATGCATTTGAGGCCCTGCATGGCTGGCCTCCCAGCCCACTAGTCGTGGCTCTCTCCAGCTTCCCTAGAGAGCCAGCACGCCCACTCTCAGTTCCTCCACCTGGCCCTGGCCCTCTTCCTCGCAGGCTTTGCCCGGGTTCTCTCTGCTTTGAACACCCTCCCTGCCCCATCACCACCTCCAGTCACTCTGCAAACTCCTCCTTTCCCTTCCCTTCTTGACTTAGACCTTGCCTCCTCCAGGAAGCCTTCTCTGCTACCCCCAGGCCGGGTTGGGGCCCTCCTCTGGGCTCCTCCCAGGCCCACGCTGCCCCATCTCTGCACTGACGACCCTGCCCATCTTTGGGGTTGCCGGACAGAATATAGGATGCCCCGTTCCATGTGAATTCCAGATAAACAATGGGTAACTTTTTAATGTAAGTATATCCCAGGCAGTATTTAGGACATACTTATACTTGAGAAATTTGTTTATCTGAAATTCAAACTTCACTGGGTGTCCTGGACTTTTGTTGGCCAAATCTGGCACCCTACTTGTCTTCCCCACCTGACTTGAATACCAGGGGACACAGCCATAACGGTCCCGCTCGTTCTTATAGCCCCAGGGCCGGCGTGAGGTTCAGGCTGAGCCATGAGTGTGGGTTTGGGGTAAATGCAGAGAAGGCAGGGAGGCTGGGCCCCCAGGCTCTTCCAAAGCAGAATCAAGAGAGGCCATACACACAAATCCCACCTCAACCAAAAGGAAAGAGCCCAGCTCCACTCACCTTCCAGTCTGGGGGTAACTGGGCCCCAAAGCCCAGAGCCGGAAACATCTTGTCACTAATACAGAGAGAGGAGAAGAAACCCACTATGAGACAGCAAGACAGAGGCCTCACCCGCCCACACTCACCCCTCCCAGCCCCCAACCAGGGCTGGGCCCACTCGGCCTCGCACACCTCCAAGGACAGAAGGAAAAGGCCCACCACCTCTAGAAAGAGCTCTCTTTGAATGATCTACTGAGCTCACACCCCCCTCTGAGTACCTGGTGAATGTGAGGCTTCAGCCCATCTACACCTGTGGCAGACATGGCTAATCAGTCACAGCACTTCTCACCAGTGGGCAGCAGCATCTAGATCCTTCTCACGCTGGGACCTCGGGCATCCACTAAACCGCAGTCATTATGGAAATGTACTGCCTGTCTCTCAACCTCCCTTTTGTGGCTGGGAAAAGTTCTGAGAGCCCCGGCTTAGCTTCAAGACGCTTCATCATCCAGCCCTAGAGCCTACTCTCGTCTGCTTCCACCTGCCCTCCCTCACACCCCACCGCCCCAGCCCTGGCCACAGACCACTAGCTGTGGCCCAAGCACACAGGGCACCCTCACGTTCCAATTTCAATCATGTTGTGCCCTCTCTCAAACTACTTGTCCCCAGTCTGTTCCCTGTGGTAAACTCCTACTCGTCCTCTACGGCCCAATTCAAACGGCCCCTTCTCTCTGTAGGTTTCCCTGAGACCTGAGAATCCCTCTCCCTCTGGTGCTCCTGTAGCTCCTGCTGCAAGGTAAGCTGGTCTCTCAGAGCTCCAGTGATTCTCCCGTCTTGCTCCTCGACTGGGAACTCTTGAGGGCTCATGTCTCACCGGTTCATTCACTCAACGTGAATACTGAGGAACCCCCTGGCTGTTGTGTGGAGGACAAACTGCCAGGGGCTAGGACAGACGCATGGAGACCAGTGAGGAGCTACGGAAGTGATCTGGAGAGGAGGGGATGGTGGTTTGAACAGGCTGGTAGCATTGGCAGTGGGAGAAGGGGTTCGACTCCAGTGTTTTGAAAGGATTTGCGGAAAGAACAACGGGGGAGATGAGGGAAGGAAAAAGGGAAGGGTTTTGGGTGAGTGGTGGTGCCTCTCATGAGATGGGAAAGAGCACTCACTGGGGCCTTCTTGTAAGTCTGAATGCCCGTGAGAAGGCTCAGTGAAGGGACCGAGTGGGCAGCTGCATACAAGGGACTCCTGAGCGGCCGCAGGAGGCTCCTCCACCCAACCATGCAGATGGGGACTTTCACCTCCCTTCCCCTGTGTGCTATACCTCTCTTAATGTGGCCAGGGATCCCAGCCACACCCGTTAGGCCCTGGGAGTCAGACCCTGCTCCTCAGGCTGCCTCTCTTAAGGAGGCCAACTGCACACAGGATTCCTGAGCCTGCTGTTGCTCCTGCCAAATTTCTGGCACCTGTACCTCCCTCCCCGGTCTCCTGCTCCTTCCACCCTCTGGCCTGGGAGTCCCAATGAGCACCACCTGTGGCAATGATCCCATAACCTTCAAGTGACTTTTGATCCTCCAAGGCCACACCCCCTACACAGCTTTCCTTCACTGACTTTCCGCTGCCCCCCCCCCCCAACCCAAAGATCTCCAGGAAGCAGGGTCATGGGAAGCAGGCCCACACCAGCTGGCTGCTCTTTCCAAGTTCCCAGCGGGAGTGAGAATATTAGGACACTGGGTGTCGGGCCCAGGAATCAGAATGCCTGTGGACTAGTCCCCCTGATCTGTTTGACTTTGGATCAATTCTCTACCTGCATCCCAGGCCTACACTTCCCCAGCTCTAAAAGGGAAAGTTGCAATGAAAGCAAACAAGTTTCATTTTCCCTCTTGATTCGTTTTCTTACTGGCTACTTGGTGTATCATGTGGAGGAGGATTCCAGTGTGGATCCGGCTCGGTAGGGAAGAGGTCAGCAATCGACTAGCAATGTCTGCCACAGGTGTAGGAAGGGGCAATAAGGCACATATACCATGTGTTGGCCATTCCCAGGTTTGAGGATCTTTGGGTCCCTTCCAGCTCTGACAAGCTGAGCTTCCGGGTTGGATGGAGCCGGAGCTGATTCCAGAGTCCCTCCTCAAGCTTACCTGTCATAGTCCTGAATGATCTGCCCGACAGCCCAGATGGCCGACAGATACTCGTTGGTGCCCATAGGGTTGATATAGTGCAAAGAGGAAGGGTCAAGGGGATTCCCGTTGGAGGCTGTGAAGTCTATCCCAACCTGTAGAGTGGGGAGAAAAAGGCCACCCAGCGTGGCCAGAGAGACTCCAGCTCCCTAGCTTATCCCAGGGAACAAAGAGGCTAATGGGACATGGGAAGTCACTCATCTCCCAGTGCCAACCCACCCTTCCATAAGATGGTCTGAAACCTAGAAACGACTGAGTCACTCCTTTGGCTCTAATCCCATCAGTGGGTCCCTACTGCCCAAGCATAAACTCTACTGGCCAGATGTGACACAAAGTCAACTCACACTCCCAAATTCCTTTGTCCCCCTCACTGTCATGACCCACACACTCCTCTGTTTCCATTTCCAGGCCTTTATTCATGAGGTTCCCTCTACCTCAAGAGCCAGGCCATCTCTTCTCCCTCTCTCATTCTCCTCCATCATTCAGGCCCAATTCAGATGTCCCTGCCCCACTGAAGCCTTCCCAGACACCTTATCCTCACCCCAAGCCACCTCCACATTGTCCCTCAGGCCCCCAGGGGGCTCTGGGACCTGGGGCTGCCTGGTAGGCCAGTGCCCATCTGCCCAGAGTGGGTGCTCACTGTAGGCAAGACACACGCCCCCAGGGCCAGGGCCAGGGCGAGGCAGAGAGCACCAGAGAAGGTGCTCCGCAGGGGCTGAAGCTAAGATCTGCTCTCTCAGACCCCAGGGAACTCCAGCTCAGCCCCTGGAGGGGTAGCACAGACGGGTAGGGGGGCGAGCCTGCCCAGCAGGGGAGGGTTAGGAGAGGGATCTAGGGAGACAGATGGCTACCTTGGAACTTGGTCATGTGGGGTGGGTCTGGCACAGAGGAGGTGCTTGGTATCCATTTGTTAAATGAACACACACACACATGCAGAAGGAACAGGAGAGCCCAGCCTCTTGGAATGAGGGGGGTGTGGTGACCAGTGGGGTTAGAGGTCAACAAAGCCAATCCCCTGACTCCACAGAGTCGTGCAGGTGACCTCCAGTCCCGTGGGATCTAGAAGTGGTGGCAAGGCGGGGAGGTGGGCAGAGCACGGGACCCAGTACCTCCTCCCCCTGGGCCAGAGGTCCCCTTCAAGTGAGGAGCGTAAGACCAGATGAGCGGGACGAGTCTGGGGGGCATACACCCCAGGCCACGGACAGAGGGACAACTCATTTACCCAACACTTACTTATGTGCCAGGCACTGAGTGGTTTGCTGAGGTTGGCACACAAACAAAACAAAGTCCCCACACTTGGGGCACTCACAGTCTTTGGGGTGGGACAAACAGGGACAAGAGAAAGATACTTAAATAACTTCAGAGTGGCTAAGTGTTCTGAAGATAACAAAATAGGGGAAGTGACAAGGAGCGACAGGAGGGCATCAGGGGAGGTCTCCCTGAGGAGGTGACCTCTATGCCATGGCCCGAAGGGATGTCAGGGCACCAGCCGTGAGAAGGTTCCGGAAGGAGCGTTCCAGATAAAGGAAACAGCAGATGCAAAGCGCTCGGACAGAAAGGCGCTTGGCATCTTAGGGGAACAGTGAGGACCCGTGTGGATGGAACTGAGTGAGCAAACAGGAGGGGTAGCAGAGGACACAGGAAGGCCTTCTGACGGGCAGGGAGGAATTCAGCTTCTTTTCCCTCTGCAGGGGTGTAGCCAGCAACACTCTGAGGGCTGGGCAGCCAGGCCCTGACCTACAGCTAAGCCCGGACTCAGGCTCAGCCACCTATGCCCTCTCCTCTGGGCCAGATACTCCCCTTGCCCTGGGGAAGTCCTTCCTGAAGTTTATCCCCAGTCTGTCTTGCTGTAGTAGTCGCCCAAGCCCTCAGGGAGGGTCCTCACTGGGGTCGGGAGGTGGGGGGTTGCGGTGGGGGAGCCTTACAGTGAACATGAGCTGGCAGCCTCCCAGGATGTAGTCCAGGAAGGAGTAGTCCCGGTTTATCTGGAAGGAATCAGGGGAGTCAGTGGGTCTCTGGCCTGCACCTGAGGGCCGGCCCTCCACCTGGCCATAGTTCCCAGGGGGAGCTGGGGGGCTGACTGCTCTGTGCCCCAAAGCCTGAGTAGAGTCAAGGAGGCCAAGGGAAGACCCGGGCTGATTACAACGAACCCCAGATCTCTCTATAACAAAGCTCTCAGAGCAACAGTTCCAGTGGGTCGGTCACACACACACACACACACGCGCGCGCGCGCGCGCGAGCACGCACGCTCCTTCCAGGCAGGGTCCCTGGGCCTACTGTCAGTTGTACCTACCAATTACACAGCAGAGAAAGTCTCAGTTTGTTGCTGTCCGGTCCTTAAGCCCTCTTTAGCCCTGACGGACCTCCACCCTGAGCAGAGAACGACCAGGCCTCCAGCCCGAGGCCTTCTGCTATAATCAAGCTGCTAACACCTCGTGTTTGTTTTGATGGCCTTTTGCTCCTTTGGCGAAAGTAGATACTGGCCTTCCTATTTGGGTGGAGTTATAAGGGGGTTCCTTTCAAAATAAATGTATTGAAGAAAAAAAAAAAGAAAAAAACCAAGAATGGTGGGGGGAAAGGGCTGATTACAAAAAGTAGTTAAGTAAGGCAGGTGGCAAAAATCACGAAGGGGAGTACGAGTGACAGAAGTTTCAGGAACAAGGACCCCATGCCACCAGCTGCCAGCTTAGCTTTCCCAGGGCACTTTGGCATCGTGACCTCATGGAGCGAGCAGTCGTGGAAGCCCCCGCCAGACCGCGCGGTCTCCAGACCAGGCTGCAGAGGCTCGGGGGCCGGGGGCTGCCAGGCCGCACAGGGAGGATGCCGGGTCTAGGCTGCCTTCCTGAGCACCCTGCCCGATTCCAGCAGATGCCGGCTCTTGGGCATCCAGGGGCGGCCCTGACCACCGCTGCTGTGAACTTCATTCCCTTTCCGCGCCTCAGAGGCCCCAGCGGCCCCAGCTGCACCACGGGAGTCACAGTGACCTGAGCCCTTGATGATGTTGCTGGGCCCCCGCCGGATGTCCCTCTGCCCCTGGGGTGCCAGACATGCAACGGGCAAGCCGCCAGCATGGGAAGCAGTTACCTTCTAACCAGGAGAGGCCCTGGAAGGTCATCTCATGCCCTCCTGGACCTCCTTATATCCCAGGAATGTGATATGAGACTAACCCTTCACCTTTGTTTTTTACCTTGTTAACATCCCCATTCTACAGATGAGGAGACTGAGGCCCAGAGAGGTTAAGCTCAGCAGATCCCAGAGTCAGGACGTGGCAGAACCAGGATTTGAATCCAGGCCTTGCTGGCTCCATACTCAGTGCTCTGTCTATCCCTTCTGCAGTGATGGGATATGATCCCCCCAACTGGGCCCCTGCTCTGGGCCCACCCCCGCTGGCTCACCTTGCAGGAACGCAGGATAATGATGCCCGAGTTTTTATAGTTCTTCTTCTTCCTTTGCTTCTTGGGGTTGATGCACTCAAACTCCACCTGGACAACATAAGGGAAAGAGAAGCTCAGCCTGGGGCTTCCCTGGGGGACTGACCGTCTCCTGAGCCCCAGGATCCCCTCCACAGTCCTGATCAGGGGGTAGCATGCCTCCTCCAGGAAGCCTTCCCAGATGTCCACACCCAGACAGTTTCTGGCTACCTCAGGCTCACACCAAGCGGTGCTTGCCCAAGGCAGGAGGACCTGCATCTGTTTCCCACCCCAGATGCTAACTCATCTACATCATGTCCACTCATATACCCAGAACCATCACCCAGGGCCCAGCCTCTAGCGGTGACTTCATTTAACAGCTCTTGAGTGCTCACCACATGCTAGGCACTTCACCAGGATCATCTCATTTATTTCCCAGTCTCCCCCTCTGCCCCATTTGGCAGATGGGGAAGCTGAGGCTCAGAGAAACTGGATGTCTTACTTAAGGTCATGCAGCCAGAGAGGTGGGATCTGAGCCCCAGTCTGCCCAGTTCTAAGCCTGTGTCCCTCACCCGTCCCCTGCTGAGGTTTCAGGGTCACACACACAGGCCCAGCTCACCGGGACGCCATCACGAGCCTCACACATCCGCGACACCGAGGTCTGGAACTCGCCGATGAAGTCATGGCCCCCGTCGTTGTCGTAGTCGTAACACATGACCTGGGGTGGGTCCACGGAGGTCACCCCAGAGCAGCCCCCAGGGAGGTGCTCTCTGGCCCCTCTCAGCCACCTGAGCAAACCCCATGTCTTCCTTTTGCTGGTGCCTCCCCCTGTTCTCGAGCATCTGCCTTGCTGGCCTGGGATGATGCTGTGAGCTCCTGAACTGCCTCCCGCAGGAAGCCTTCCATGATTACTGGGAAAAGGAGCACCCCAGCAATGGAGGCTGTACACTCTGGAGCAGGAAGCTCGACTCCCCACATACCCGTCACTCAGCTCCTCATCTGTCTGGGGTTGTGCCTTGGCGGGCCATGGCGTGGGGCCCTCCCTAGGGTGACACTGGACATGCCTCTTGTCTCCCTAGACTATTCCTTTCCTTGAGATAGGCACAAGAAATCCTAGCTTTCCATGCTCGCTAATCTAGCTGCCAGTCCTAGGAAGAAGGCAGGAATTATCATACCCATTCCACTGATGGATAAACTGAGGCTTCGAGAGGGAAGCACTTGTCCAAAGTCTCACAGCCGCAGCAGCAGACCCAGAACTAGAATCAAGTTTCCTAGTACCCTGTTCAGGGATCCCTGCCCTGGCCTCGCTGATTCCATCTACCCCATCTGCTCTCAGTCACTGTGCATGGGGACTGAGGTTCTGTAGCGACCAGTAATCACTGTCCTCATCACAGTGACAACCCTTGGTCGCTTGCACACCCGCTGTCCCAGGTGGCAGTGCCGCAGGCCTCTGGCAAGAACCGGGCAGTCGTTCTGTTCCTGTTTCAGGAAGGGCTCACGGAGACGGGGGCCTTGCCCAGATGGCTCAGAGGGTCAGACAGATGTGAGACCAGAGCCCAGGTCCCCTGCCTCTCCCCCTACCTAGGTTTGCTTTTCCATCTTAATAAGAAAGAGCTTGGCCAGGGCATCCCCAGCAAGCCTGGGAGAGCCTGGGAGGCTGGACCTGGCAGGGTGGGGCGCAGGGCTCCCCGAGCCCCCTCACCTGGATGGCCTTCTCCATGTCCCCATCACACAGGGATACCAACGGTACAGTAAATGGTTTCCACACAGGGTCCAGCGTGTACTTGATCACCTGCAGCACAGGGAGGGCCAAGGCTGAGTGCAGGCCCAGGGCAGCAGTGCTCTGGGCTTGGGCCAGTCCGATGGGGATGGCAAGGCAGAGAGGCCCACAGCCACGCTCCTGGGGATGGCATGAGCATCCCTGTGGCAGGAAGGGAGCAAGTCCTTGAGGTGCCACCGTGGCTTTTCCCGTTCCCTGCACAGCGGTGACCTCACAGCCCTGTCCTGAGACACTGGTGGGGGGGGGGGGAGGGAGACGGGCAGCTGGACCACTGCCTTAGAGACCCCAGAGCCCCGTGCACCCACCTCAGTCCTGTGAACCAGCATCCACTTGCCATCATCTCCTGGTTTATAAAACTCAAGAAATGGGTCTGACTTTCCGAAGAGGTCCTGGAGGAAGCAGGAGGATGCAGGTGAGGGAGGCATGGCTCTACCAGATTCAGATGAGGCGGTGGTTGGGGGGGGAGCTGCCTTCCCCAACCCCGCGTCAGGGGTGGGAGCTGTGGGCCCCCTGGGGCCAACCAGCTCCCGCAGGGGAAACCGCCCCATCCCAGGGTTACCAAAGCCTGTGCTCAGAGACCCTGAGACCTGGAGCCTGCAGGCGCTCCAACGTAGATGGGGCAGGGCGTCAAAAGGGTGATGGATGCCTGCAGCAGGATGTGATTTTATTTTAGTGGGGATCTGAAAAACTGAAATGATCCCAGCACGTCACAGAAGGGATAGGATGTCCTTTATTTTATTATTATTTTTAAAGATTTTATTTATTCCTCTGACAGAGAGCATGCACAAGCAGGGGGAGTGGCAGGCAGACAGAGGGAGAAGCAGGCTCCCTGTTGAGCAGGGAGCCCGATACGGGGCTCAATCCCAGGACCCTGGGATCATGACCTGAGCTGAAGTCAGACGCTTAACGACTGAGCCACCCAGGCGCCCCGCATGTCCTTTAAAAATCCATTTATTTAAGTTAAAAAAAAAAAGTGTCAGGAGGGGCTCCCGGGTGGCTCAGTCAGTTAGGCATCTGCCTTCGGCTCAGGTCATGATCCCAGGGTCCTGGGATCGAGTCCTGCATCAAGCTCCTTGCTCAGTGGGGAGCCTGCTTCTCCTTCTCCCTGTGCCCCTCCCCCTGCTTGTGCTCGTTCTCAAATAAATAAAAATAAAATCTTAAAAACAAAATAGTGTCAGGGAATATTCAGGGAAAAGAACATCCCAGGCAGAGGGAATAGCAAGTGCAAAGGTCCTGAGGCAGGAGGGTGCCTGGTGCAATCCTGAGACAATGAGGAGGCTAATTTGGCTGAGGCAGAATGAAGGTGGGAAAAACAGAGGGGGTGAGATCAGGGGGTGCTGTGGACACACCCAGTGGGGCCCTGTAGGTTACTGTAATGATCCCAGCATTTACACTGACACAGGGAATCCCCAGGAGTGGGTTTCCAGTTATGTCTTGAATACCTCTAAATAATGGCAAATTCATTACCTCAGTGGTAAAGAGGTCCGAATTTGGGGTGGGCTGAGCTATGGGCTTGTTCCTGGGTGGGGGGCAATGAAGGTGATGGCCAGAAGCAGCAAGACTAGGCCCCACAACCCTGGGCTGGGGGAGGGATACCGCTCCCTGATGGAGAACCCGCCTTCTCGCCTGCCTCACCTTCTTGTCCAGCTTCCTGCCCGCCAGACTCAGTGTGATGACCTGGTTGTCCGACAGCTCCTGGGCGGCAATCTGTGAGGTCGGGGGAATGTGAGGGTTGGGACCTGCCCCTGTGACTCCCCCTGGCGTCCTGCCAGGCAGTGAGCACAGGTACCCAGGGGTCAGCTCTCCAGGCTGGCAAGGGGAAAGGAGAGGAGGGACAATACCGGCGACCCTGGACGTGCCTCTCGTCTTCTCAAAACCTCCATGTCTAGCTTCTGGAAAATGGGGTAACCCATGTGAATCTGAGGGATCAGAAGTGACCCCACGTGGCTCAAGAGGGGAGGCCCTGTGAAGCAGTTACCAGATATGAGGGGTGGTCTCGAGCCCTGGGGAGAGCTTCTGGCCAGGGAGCAGCTTGATAGGCCCCCTCGGGCTCCCACTGCAGACCCCGGGAGCATAGCCACCTCAAAACGCCAAGGCATGGGGTATTCCAGGAACCTCACTGTGCAGCTAGGGAAACTGAGGCCCAGGGCAGGGACAGGAGTCACCTGAGCTCCCTCTGCTGTTGTCAGCTCATACTGTCATCTGTCTGCCATGCCTTCGCCCTCAGCCATGGCCCTCTGGCTCCAACCCAGCCAGCAATGGACCAGCTGAGTGACCTTGGGTCCATCTTTGCCCTCTCTGGGCCTCTGTCTCCCCCTCCCCACAGAGTGGCAGAGAAAGCCCTCGGGCCAACAGCAACACAAGTGGGCGGGGGCCTCTCTCTGCTAGGGCTACCTCTTCCCTCACACCTGTAGGACAGCCTCACCTACAAGCTACTGGACCCTCCAGAACCCCACACAGAGCTAGACAGGATGCTAGGCTTCCTTGCCTTGCCTTTCCTCCAGCAGAGACTTGCTCAACAACCTTGCAAGGTAGATCCTATTACTGCCCCCATTCCACAGAGGAAGGACCTGAGGTCTGGAGCGACACCGTGGCAATGCTGGCGGGGGGGGGGGGGTCTCCCAGTTCGGGGGGGGGAAGCAGGAGCCGCTGGGTTGACTTCCAGGTGGAGGGGAGCTGGCTAGTGAAGTTATATAGATGGTACATAGATGGGGAGGTTCTGAACCCCAAGAGGTGGGGGGGGGAAGGCGGGGAGGGAACATTCCAGGTGGCAGGAACAGTAGATGCAGATGTGGTATGCTAAGAATTCAGTTTGCCTGGAACCCAGAGTATGTACACAAAGGAAAGCGAGGTGGGGTTCGTCACAGCCTTGAAAGCAAAGCTCCAGGGGCAGTGGGGAGCCAGGGAGGCTCCAGAGCAGGGGGGTGACTACATATGAGCACATACAGCTTTGGCCTCCTCCGTCCAGCCAGCCAATTCCTCCGGCAGCGCACGGGCTCTGAAGGGGGACAATCCGAGAGGGAGCCTCACTAGCCTGTAACTGCCCCAGGGCATTGCCTCTCTGGGCTCCAGGTCCCTCGTCTGTAAAACGGTTTCCCTGCCTTGGAGGAGTCTGCGAGGACCCAGGACTGGTCCGCACAAAGGGCCTGTGGCAGGCCGGGATCACTGCGCACTGTAACCCTGTAACCGTAAACAGAGCTCTGCGGGCAAGGTGCTTCTCAAAGACCCCCTAGCGAGGGCAGGCAGGGGCCAGGCGGGGAGGGCATGCTGGAAGGGCTACAGTGACCTTCAGGGACCAAGAGTAGGAGCGCCCCAGCCCTGGGAGGAGGAGACCACTGGGGCCTCTGGCAAGCCCCCTACTCCCAGCTTGGCGGCCCCCAACGCATCATATGTGGTGCCAGGAGCCCGTTGCTAAGAGACCTGTTGCTAAGTTGTAAGTTGGGCCTTTTTACTCCAAACAAAACTGGTGATTATCTGCCAGGGAAGCAGCCCATTGATGGGGGAGGGCCTCGGGCAGAGGCGGAGGGGTGCAGAGAGCAGGAAGGGGGCTGGTACCGTAATCAAGCCCTTCCCTGCAGGCTTGTCATTCATCAGCAGCAGAGGCCGAGTGATCTTCTTGCTGGAGACGATCTGGGGGGGGGCGGGAGAGAGGAGAGTGGCGCTCCTGAGGGTTGGCGGGGAGGAAAAACGCTCAACAGCCACCACTCACAGCACGCGGCTCCACGCGGGCGCTGGCCACAGCCCACCCCTGCATGACTGTCCTCCCAGGAGGCAGCCAGCAACCGCAGCTAACTCCACTGGGCAGCGAAGGAGACAGAGGCCCAGAGGTGCTGACACTTGCCCGAGGGCCCACAGCTGGTGTGGAATCCCCCAGTCCCACCCCCACTGACCTGGTTGCCCCCAGGCAAAGGCTCTTGCAAGGGTCACCTTCCGAGGCACCTGCAGGGAGTCGAGCCCCCTCACGGCCTCCCCTAAAGCCATCTACAGATACCGCCCCTCACCCACAGGCTGTGATCCCTGATGGAGAAGATCGAATCCTGACTCCTATTTTCATGCTCCGAATAGGGAAGACATTCACACAGCGCTCAGCCATCAAGACCATAGAGACAGGGAAAGCAGAACACACTGTAAAACTGCCCTCCACCATCTCTGTACACCCCATTCCCACGCTCTTCGGGGGCCACCTTGGTTCTCAGCTTCTTGGGGGAAATGCCAGTGTTTGGGCTCATCTGTGCACGTTCCTATCCTCCCGTGCTGGTTTTCCTCCCCAGCCCACTTTCGCCCTTCACCACCTGCTCTGTGCCCTGGGGGCCTTCACCGCCGGCACCCCTGTCCTGCGGGTGCAGCCACTGGGGGCGTCCAAGGGCCCCGGAAGACCAGGAGCGTGGAAAGGCTGTTTGGCACACGTCACACTCCTCGGGGGCCTTCGCTCTGGTCCAGAGGCCTCCCCACCCCGTGGCCGCAGCTCTCCCCAGGCCCTGGCCACTGGCTGCCAGCCCTGCCCCTCTCTCTGGGCCAGGGGCGGCCGCTCACCCTGCAGCTCGCTCCCGTTACCCCTGGGGGGCTGGACCCCAGGCCGGAATCCCAGGACCCGCCCTACTTCTCTCGCAGCGGCGGCCCAGGCTTGGTCCATCCCTTCTCCTGGAAGGTCCAGGCCATTTCAGCGGGCGCACTTCCTCCACCATCACTGAGGCTGGGCGGTCATCATTAGCCCCGAGTGAAAGGGGGGGGGAGGCGGGGCTCGCCCAAGGGCACACAGCCATAAGGATGGTTGGAACTGGTGCAAGGGGCTCCCAGCCCTCCCTACGCTCACCAAGGACGGAGCTGGATGGGGGGAGTGTGGCCCGCAGAGGGAAAGGAAGTTGCCCAAGTTTACACAGTAAGCCAGCTGGTCAGATGCTCCTGCGCCAGAAGTCAAGACCACATCTGATTTACTTCTAACAGTCAGAAGCTCTGGCCACGCAGGGTCCCCATTCCTGTGTGGCAACAGCTTGCTGACACTGTGCTCTGGGAACTCTTCAGCCTGGCCCCAAACCAGCAGGCTACTCACCCCCTTTTGTACCTGCTGGCCCCCAAGGCTATCTGCATTTTCAGTGCTACCTTGGAAGCCAGCCAGGAAGACGGGACTAGGGAAAGCAAGCGGCGGAAGAGACTTGGTCCAAGGCACCGCCCCGTCCTTGGGAGCAGCGTGATGACGGGCGTGGGGACTGCCTTGCCCTTGGCCCCCTGGAGGGGCCCAGCTCACCGTGCCCAGGCTGCAGGAGAACTGGCCCAGGAAATCATGCTCTTCCAGCTGTGTGCTGGACTTGTCCTGGTCGAATAGGGCGAACTTGAGCTTCTGCACTTCCTCGAAGTGGTAGTCAAGGACGAACTTCTTGGAGAACGCGGGGTTGAGGTTGTTGACCGCGGTTTCCGTCCTGTCATACTAGCAGAGGGTCAGGGAGACAGGACCCGGGGTCAGGCAGCTGGCTCACGCCTTCTCGGGCTTCCTGGCATCATTCTGCGAACTGGCTGAACACCTACTCGTGGCCAGTTACCACTCCGAGCTCACAGATGAGGACACTGATGCACAGAGAGGTTAAGGGACTTACCCAAGGTTGAACAGCTCGAGGGGCAGTGTCAGGACCTGAACCTAGGTCTGACTCTAGCACTGAAACTCTGAAGTCTTTGGCCCGGCGCCATACTAGGAGCCAGGGCAAGAGCTCGAGGTGTGTCCCTGCCTAGGTAAGTGACAGACAGCAAGTCCCTTTTCCCCTCAGGGCCTCAGTTTCCAGTTCTGTAAAACGACGGGATTTGACTATCAGTGGTTTCCATCCTTTTTCCCTTGGAAGAACCCTTTTTCCAAACCACATTTCACATGGAAGCTGAGAGACAGAACAGAAAAAAGGAGGGGTCCATAGGGGCAGGTGGGGGCAGATGTTTGTACCTGGGCCTTGTGCAGCCCAACACCCCCCACCTACTATGGAAACCAAGGCTGGGCCTTGTATTGTGGGTCAGGGCTGGGCGGGGACAGGAACCCCGCCTCCTGGCCTCTCTGCATGGAGGCCCCAAACCGCAGAGTCCGGGTGATGGTCTATTTTGGGGCCCGGGCTGTGTTGATTTTTCCTCCCACCCAGTCCCTTTCCAAGGGCTGGAGGAGCAGGGATGGAAGAGGTCTTGGCCCTGGGCTATTTTTAGCAAGGGTGGCCAGTCTGGGTGAGAGAGAGATTGTCCGGGGGGTGGTGGTGGGGTGTGTGTGTGTGCTGTGAGTGGGGGTGGGGTGTAGTGGGGAGGACACCGTTCCCTGAGTGGTAGGTGGGGGCTCCAGAGACCTGGCAGAGGGGACCAGGATGCTCCAGGCACACTGGCTTCAGTCCTCGGGTGACCCCATGTCCCACCTCCCACTTCTGGCTGCGCTACCATCGCACCGAGTGACACAGAGAAGTCTCTACCCATTCAGGGCCCTAGCTTTCCCTCTGTAAAATGGGTCAACAACCTCAGCACCATTTCCTTGGCATCGTAAGAAGGAGCCAACACCTGTGGAAACTCTTTGTAAACCACAGTATGTTCAGTGGGCTGTCCACTGTGGCTCAGTTGAAGAACTATTAAAAATAGATACATATTTTGGAAATTTTACTTGCATATAAAACCACCTCAAAGGCCGGATACCAAACCGTTACCAGTGGTTCTCCCTGACACACAGGTTTCCCACCATACTGTCTTCTTTAGGTTTGTCTTTTCTAAATCTACAATGAACATAGACCCCTTATAAAGTAAAAACAAAGCAACTTTTAGAACTTGAAAGTGTTAATGGTTTGGATTTCTCAAAATCCTTCCTCAAGCTGCATCTCTCCCTAGCCCTCAGGCTCAGAAGTCCTTGACACCATCCACATCCCTAGTTCTGGGACTCTGCAAGGGAGACAGGGGGAAAAAAAATCCTCATTTCACAGATAAGGAGACAGGTTCAGAAAAGGACAGCCACTTGCCCCAGGCCACACAGCAGGGAGTGACAGACCTGGGTCTCGCTCCAGCTCTGGGACCAAAGCCTGAGTTCCCCATTTCTCTGTCTGCTCCTCACTGACTGTGCGTTCATTTAGGAATAAATGTGGAAAGTTATTTTAAAAATGGAAGCAGGCATTTTGTAAAACTCTAAGGTTTTAACTATATATTATAGTAATTAAAAATATTGCAATATATGGGGCGCCTGGGTGGCTCAGTGGTTAAGCGTCTGCCTTCGGCTCAGGTCATGGTCCCAGGGTCCTGGGATTGAGCCCCGCATTGGGCTCCCTGCTCGGCAGGAAGCCTGCTTCTCCCTCTCCCACCCCCCTGCTTGTGTTCCTTCTCTCACTGTGTCTCTCCCTGTCAAATAAATAAAAATAAAAGAAAATATATTGCAATATAAAACAATATGATTATAAATATAAATCTCTAAATTATAATAGCTTAAACACAATTATTATTTTAAGTAGTAATATACATACATTTTATTTATTTTTTAAAATTTTACTTATTGGGGCACCTGGGTGGCTCAGACGGTTGGATGTCTGCCTTCGGCTTGGGTCATGATCCCAGGGTCCTGGGATCGAGCCCTGCGTCGGGTTCCCTGCTCTGCGGGGAGTCTGCTTCTTCCCCTCCCTCTGCTTCTCCCCCTGCTCATGCTCTCTCTCTCCCTCTCTCTGTATCTGTGTCTCAAATGAATAAAAAAAAAAAAAAATCTTAAAAAAAAATTTAGTTATTTAGGGATGCCTGGGTGGCTCAGTGGGTTGGGTGTCTGCCTTTGGCTCAGGTCATGATCCCGGGGTCCTGGGATCGAGCCCCGCATTGGGCTCCCTGCTTGGTGGGGAGCCTGCTTCTCCCTCTGCCTGCCGCTCCCTCTGCTTGTGGTTGCTCTCTCTCTCTCTGACAAATAAATAAGTAAAATCTTTAAAAAATAATAATAAAATAAAATTTTATTTATTTAAATAATTTCTACACCCCATGGGAGGCTCGAACTCATGACCTTTCCAAGATGAAGAGCCACATGCTTCTCTGACTAAGGCAGCCAGGTGCCCCTAAATACATTTAAATAAAATTTAATTTTCTTTTTTAAGCAGGCTCCATGTCCAATGTGGTGCTTGAACTCACAACCCTGAGATCAGGAGTCACGTGCTCCACTGACTGAGCCAGCCAGATGGCCTCTAAAATTTAATTTTAAAAGCAACAATCTTCTAAGTAATCCCTGTTCCACCCTCCAACTCCCTCCAAGGGCACAACCTGGAGGTCCCAGGATCCAGTGGGAGTCCCTCCCCAGCAACCTAGCCACCCCCTGCCTACCCCAGACGCACAAGGAGGGATCTCACCTCAATCCACCTGCCGTCGTTCTCTGTAAAGAGGACGCAGAAGGGGTCAGACTTGGAGGTCACATCCCGGTCCAGCAGGTTCTGGCCACTCACTGACAGCTCCACCTTGCACACGCAATACTGGGAGCCCATGGGCGCCGCCCCCGCGGCCGGGGCGCCCCCACTAGGGATGTAGGCCATGGGGCTTGGCAGTGGCAGCAGTTCCTGGCAGTCTAGGGGGATAGAAGTGGGGGTCAGAGAGGGTACAGACATGGGCTGTACCACCCCACCCTGAGGAGGTGTCACCCCCTGACCATTGAGATGGGGGTAGAGAGATGGAAGGACAGGTGTGTTGATGGCGGGACGACAAAGGCACAAGCTTGACAAAAGGAGAATGAAGAAAAATGAGTCTCCGGTGGGCGTATTTAGTTCGAAGTTACTATCTGTGTCGGTCAATCTTTACCTATGAGACATGCACAAGGCCAAGTCGCCCCTGTCAGATTAGTGACAGATCACAGTGGCCGTGCGCATCTAAGACATTCATTTTGCCAGGAAAACCTGGGCTTCTCCTGGGCGATTAATATTTTGGCATCCTGTGGCTAGAGTGGAGCTTATGATAGCGCAGGTTTCCCTCTTTGCTTTGGCCACTAGGAAGCTCACTCTTTTTTTTTTTTTTTTAAAGATTTTATTTATTTATTTGACAGAGAGAGACACAGCGAGAGAGGGAACACAAATAGGGGGAGTGGGAGAGGGAGAAGCAGGCTTCCCGCGGAGCAGGGAGCCCGATGCGGGGCTCGATCCCAGGACCCTGGGATCATGACCTGAGCCGAAGGCAGACGCTTAACCGACTGAGCCACCCAGGTGCCCCGGAAGCTCACTCTTGATAACTTATCCAAAATTTGACTTTGTTCATTGCAATCTCATTCATCTTGTGTATCCTGGGCCTAACTAAGCACAGTGACTGATGCACAAGGTGTATGCTTGCTGAATCAAAAAGATGAGCGTAGAAATCAGTGAATGGACAGACCCTCCACATTGCTCAGATTCTGCCTGAGTTGGTCCTTATCCTCAACATAGAATTTACTCTTTCATTCGCATATGACTTCCCCCAAATTCTATGTACCCCTTCCACTGTCATGGCTAATTACTGGCATTTGCTTCCTCTAAGGCAGTTCTGTTTTCCTCCAAGTTCATCTGGAGCAAGTGTGGAGAGACCCATCTCAGGGCATGGAGGGGAGCTCTGGGCTCCACCCATAACAAGGCCCCGTGGACAAGCCCTCTGGCTCTCTGTGCCTCAGTTTCCTCATCTGCCCACGAGACTTCATGACACAGCCCTCCCAGACTCCGGTGGTCGGGTCTTATTTCCAGCAGCTCACGTGCAGTTCACATAGGCCCCGTCACCGTGTCCATGAGTCCAGCTCCCACTTAACCACATAGGCCTTGACTAATACGTCACCCCCTCACGGCTGAGTGGGTGACCGGCCCTGCACTGCCCCAGAGGGGGGATGCGAATCCAACTTACTGTGCTGCTAAGCACTGACTATGAGCTGAGCACGTGATCTGCTAATCCTCATTCATTCACTCTAGAGTGTTTACTGAGCATCTACTAGGTCCCAGGCCCCCGGCTGGGATTGGGAGCCGGGGCCTGGGATCCTATGGCAAGAAGGTCACCCAGCCCAGTCTCAACTCTCACAGGCTAGCTGACAGCATGGGGAGAGCCGCCCTGGGGGGCACTGGGGCTTTATGCTGAAAGTGATGGAAGTCTCGGGGGGTTTTAAGCAGAGAGGTGACAAGATCTGATTTGTGTTTTGAGCAGCTGACTCTAGCCCCCGTTGGGAGAAGGGGATGTTAGTATGGAGAGGCAGCAGGGAGGCTGGCGAGGAGGCGGCTATCAGCCAGGCAGGAGGGAGCAAGCCGCAGTGGCCATGCTGGGCCCAGCCTTCTCCCTCGGACCCGGGTCATGGCCCGCATCCTGAGCGCCAGCCCGCCTCTGGCTGGGCAGATGGAGGCCCCGGTCTGCACAAAGCCTGGGCGAGGGTGGGGCTGGCGCCAGAGGGCCCTCTCCCTCTCCAGACACAGCGCACCCCAGGGCATGCCTGACAGGGGAGGATCCGGGACAGTGACAAAGCCAGTCCTCAGCCCCCTCCCTCCCACCGCCTGTCTCTACAACCTCATCATCATCACGCGAACCCAGAGCATCAGGATAGCACTGCAATTTGCCCGCAGGATTCATTCCTGTTGTGTAAAAATTAGTTTCCACTGAAAGGGCTGGGGAGACTGCATTCACTCTCCCTGTGTACAGCTGGGTGGCCCTCCACGTCTGGGAGGGGTGAGCAAGTCCTCAACCCAGTCTGGAGGGCAGGCGGGGCGGGGGGGGGGATAGGGATGTCCAAAAGGGACACCTAGCCATGTGGCTGAGGGATCGCCTGTTTATGCTCACAACCACCCGAAGTGGGGTGGCCCCCAACAGTGACCCCCATTTTACAGATGAGGAAACAGGTCCAGAGAGTACAAGTCACCTGCCCAAGGTCTCAGGGCCAGGAAGCCACAGAGGCAGCGTATGAGCCGGGTCTCCAGGCCCCCCAGGCCCATCTGCGGCCTTCTGGCCAGGGCTGGGGCACTGCTGAGGACGGTGAGGAACTAGGGACGAAGGGGAGTCAGCGTGGCCAAAGGGAACCCCATTTCCTCGGGAGTCTCACTGTTCCCATCTCTGGGGTCATCCCTGATGGGTTGGGTTCCATCCAGGCTACCCGCCTCCTCTCCACCTGACGGGCCCCCTTCATGACACGCCAGATGCCACACCGTTCCCCCTGCTGCCAAGTCAGAGGCATCTGCTTTCACCCCGAGGGGTGTCAGGGACTTCCCTGTGCATGCACAGTGTATGGTCACATACACACACGTGTATGCGTGCTCCAGATGACCAGCGGCAAAGGCACGCCCGCATATGAACACCTAGGGCGGCTTCTCCCCTGCCCCCCGCCCCCCACGTCCAAGCCACAGCCATGGCTCTGCTGTCCTCCCACCCCACACTGGCTCGGGCCTGGCTGAGGGCATGGCAGGAAGGGCCAGGTCCCAGGGGAGGGTCAGGCCGGGCCAAGCTCCTTGGAACCCGCGGCAACTCCACCTGCTTAGCCGGCAGGCCCCCGCTAGAGTGAGCAAGAGGTGGGCAGGGGAGGGCACTTCTCCCCCAGCTCGGGGCGGGCAGGTTCCCCATCCCCAACTCACCCTCTGGCAGGAAGCTTCTGGATCCCCGAAATGGGGAGCACATGATGTCCGGAGCTGGGGCAGGCAGGGGTCAGAGTGGGCCCCTCTGTGCCAGCCCGGCAGCGGGCAGGCGGGCCGGACCCTGAGGCCTGACGCAACGGAAAAAGAAATCACAGCTTATGCCGGGCCGGGCCCCCTCCCCTCCTACTCCAGCAGGAGGGCAGGCGGACAAGGTGTCATTAAGGGAGGGTTGGGCCTGCCATGCGCATCTGGGCCAAACGGAAACCTCCTTAATGCAGCACCCACCCCACAGGTAATTTGAGGTTATGGGCAGCAGAGGGGGCATGGGGAGCCAGGGCCTGCTCGCAGATGGTCCTGACTCTTGGCCCAGGTGGGCACAGGTCTGCTAGGGTGACCAGATCCTCAGGGAAGGAGCTGGAAGGGGGAGATACAAAACTAGTAGTCTCTCGTACAGATGAGGCAAAGAGAGGGCAGGGCTTGGGAATTCCCATTCATTCCTTCCACAAACACTCCCAAGTGCCCTGCAATGAAGAGCAATGACCAAGACACAGAGGCTTCAGCCCCCCACAGGGTCCACTGGCCCTCGCTCCTAATGCATCTTGCCCTTCAGGCGGACAGGACAGGATCTGGAGACTCGGGTGCTGAACCACAGGTGTAGAGGGAGGGAGAGAACCCACCGTGCAGGCTCTTTAATCTCAGAGAAATGACAACCACCTCTTCCTGACACACATCACCAAGATCACAAAGCCGTTACTCAAACCCTGGACCCTCATGATTGCTCTAAGAGACCAGCAGGGGAGGGTTTCACATCCACCTTCACAAGGGTGGAAACTGAGGCCCCAGAAGGGGCAGTGGTTTCTCTAAAACAGGGAAGGATGATGCTGAGGCCAAAGGCCTGGTTGCTTAACTCCATCCTTCCGCCCACGATTAGCCCCAGTGGCTCAGGACCCAGGAGCTGGGCTGTGCACTCCACTCACTACGGGGAGGAGATGCCGAGGCCTGGAGGGCTCCCAACTCAGAGATGGGCAGTGGCAGGGAGGCACCAAGAAAGGCAGGCACAGGGAGATGGGCAGTGGGGCGGGGGAGGCAGACGGCTGAGCTGGAGAGTGGGGGAGCCAGCTGGGGAAAAGAGGGGCTGGAAGGTGAAGGGCGGGGCTGAGGTGCCCAGGGAGGCAGCAAGTCCCTACTCCGGAGAGTCTCAGCTGCTGGAGAGTATGGGGCAAGTGTAACAACGTGACAGCCTATCAGGACTTCTGGTGGAGGTCAGCAATGTGCCCCTTGAAAAAGCGTGTTTAACTTGATATTTAGAAGATGCAAAAAAGGAATGCCGTTTTCAGTGCCCACTATGGAAAATAACACCCCACAAAGTCTGGTCGGTGGCAGTAACAAGGACGGGGGCTCAGTCCTCTGATCGGTGCCGGCGACAGTGAAGACCACGGGCTCTGGACTCAGAACGCCCGACTTTGAACCCCCAGTTCTGCTATTTACCCGCTGTGCGTCTTTGGGCGAGTTACTTAATCTCTCTGGTCTCAGTTTCCCCCCTCTACAAAACGATGACAGTGAGAGAGCTCTCACAGGGTACGGTGAGGATTAAGCGAAGGAAAGCACTTGGAATGACAGCTTGTAGCTGGTGTTTTTATCAGCAATTCTTGATGGCTGGGGGCAGGCGGAGCCGATCGAAATCTTGGGAGATGCGTGAAGTGTACGGATTACAAAAGGGGGCCGACAGTTGAAACTGGTTGAGAAATATGGCTCTAGGCTCCCCTTTTCAACCGGAAGACACGGTGCTGGGATGCCAGTGACAGGCAAGGTGGTGGCTGGGGGGCCAGGGAGGGGCTAACGGATTCAGGCCCCACCAGGTGCATGCCTCAGGGCCTTTGGGTCCTCACCCATGCGGAGGATCCCGCTCCATGGGGTCTCGTCACTGACAGCAGAGACTCCAGCGGTGGTGGCCCCAGGCTCTCGCAGCTCCACATGTGTTTCCCAGGTGGGCCACCTCACCATCTCC